CAACATCTGTTCCATCAGAAGGATCTGAATATGCGTCAGAGAAGATGGTTGGAATTAGTAAGTGATTATGATTGTGAAATTCTATATCATCCAGGAAAGGCAAACGTAGTAGCCGATGCATTAAGTCGACAAGAGAAAAGTTGAACCATCAAAGCTATAGCATTACGAGTTGAGTTATTACCCAGTATTCAAGAAGAGTTACAAGAGTTTCAACATGAGGCCATGAAAGAAGATAAGATTAAACAAGAAAGATTGGGTGGATTGGTATCTGATCTAGTGAGAGATGACAGAAAATTTTGGAAGTTCCAGAACATAATGGGGTACCATGTTATGGTGATCTCAGAAAGCGTATTTTGAATGAAGCTCATAAGTCACATTTTGCAATACATCCAGGTACAAATAAAATGTATCGGGATTTGAAGCAACATTATTGGTGGCCAGGTATGAAGAAAGATATTGCTAAATATGTTGAACAATGCCTGACATGTCTTCAGGTAAAGATTGAACATCAGCATCCCTATGGTAAGTAGCAATCTTTAGAAATTCCGGTTTGGAAGTGGGATCATATCACTATGGATTTCATAACCAAATTTCCAAGAACATCGAAAGGGTATGATGCAATATGGGTGATAGTGGATCGGTTGTCTAAATCTGCACACTTCTTACCTATGAAAGAGTCATATTCGATGGAGATATTGGCAAAGTTATACATTGATGAGATAGTGACACGACATGGTGTTCCTCTATCAATTGTTTCTGATAGAGATAGTCGGTTCACTTCTATGTTTTGGAAGAGTTTTCAAAGAGAAATGGGTTCACAAATTAAGCTAAGCACAGGTTATCATCCTCAGACTGATGGACAGAGTGAGCGAACTATCCAAACTTTAGAAGATATGTTGAGATCATGTGTCATTGATTTTGGAGGGTCGTGGTATAGTCATTTGGCTTTGGTAGAATTTGCATACAACAATAGCTATCATTCAAGTATTCAGGCAGCACCTTTCGAGGTTCTGTATGGACGAAAATGTAGAACTCCTTTGTGCTGGAATGAAATAGGTGAAAAATAGTTAGCCGGGCCTGAGTTAGTTCAGCAAACTGCAGATAAAATTGGAGTAATACGGGAACGAATGAAAGCGGCACAAGATAGACAAAGAGGTTATGCAAATAAACGTCGGAAGCCGATTGAGTTTCAAATAGGCGATAAAGTAATGTTAAAAGTATCACCTTGGAAAGGAGTGGTACGTTTTTCAAAAAGAGGGAAGTTAAGTCCAAGATATATTGGACCATTCACTATTATTGGAAGGGTTGGAGAGGTGGCCTACAAATTAGAACTTCCTTTGGAATTAAGTGGAATTCATGACACGTTTCATGTGTCAAATTTGAGGAAGTGTCTAATAAGTCCAGATGTGGCAGTACCATTACCTGAGATTAAGGTAGATGAGAAATTATGTTTTGAAGAAACCCCTGAACAGATTACTTATTACAAAGTAAAGAAGTTACGAAACAAAGAGATTGGGTTAGTAAAAGTTCAGTGGCGTTATCATAAGGGACCAGACGCCACCTGGGAATCAGAATCAGAGATGCGGATGCAATATCCTTATCTGTTTAATTAATGGAATTCCGGAACGAAATTCTTTTAAGGAGGGAATATTGTAATATCCGGGTTATTTTATTGGTTTTAAAATTTTAAATCTTTATGTTTATATTAAATATATATATATATATATGTGTATATATATATATATGTTTTGGTGTGAATATGTGGGATTAGCCGACATTTTTTTGAGTCGGCCATACACTTGCTATTTATAGCAAGTGTATGTGAAAAGGGAAGGAAATTTTTTTTTGACTTTTAGAAGTTCTTGCTGAAAAACCATCTGGAGAGCAAAATCAATTGTAAAAGTGAAGATTGATATCTTGCAGATCCAATCCGTTCAAAATCTTTTATAAGGTGAGTGTATTAAAGCTTTGAGCATAAAGTTGTTTGCATACAATTCAGTAATTATTAGAACTGTTTATTATTGGTTTATAGTTCATATTATATGGATATGTTATTAAATCGTTCATGTGGTGTCCCAATTGTTATCCGGACAAATAAACCGTTCAAGTATTAATCGGATTTACCTTAAACCGTGTAAGAGGTGACCAGTTTGCTTCTAAACCACTCAAGAGGTGTCCGGATATTGTATAAAGCGGTCAAGGGTTGTGCGGTGTATTGACCGGACTATTTTTAAACCGGTTAACATTGTAAGTGGAGTATTGTCCGGATTTGTAATCCGGACAAAGATATTGACTATATTCTAAGTGTTAACCGGA